ACTAACGGGATGTAAGAAACGAAAGTTAAACTTAGATTCACCTCTTTAGGACCCACCTTTACCCCTCCCTTGGACCATCCCAAAAATCCTTTGTATGGGCATGAGAGGATGCACTACACCTGTACCTTTCGATAAAGCCTCTGATGTTTGCTTTGCAAGGTGTGGTTTCAATCAGCATTCATTGCCACGGTGTTGATTGGGCTCACCCAGTTGTGTCTTGATCAAAATACATCTTTTAACTTTCACAGAAGTCTTGTCTCAAGTTTTTGTTTGGCTCTTTGAAACTTGGGTAGCAAAGAGTGCCTTACACACCTTTCCTATCTTTTGACTTTGAGTGTATATGTGGTCCTGATAATGTCTTTTTCCCAGTTTCACAGCCTAACTAGATTCAGGTACGAAGTAAGGAGCCAGGTCATAAATCAAGAAATTCTTTTACAATTGTGCTTGTTTATAAAACAAGCATAAAATAGGTTTAGCCTTTCATCAAAGTTCAAGCTATAAGGTAATATTATTATTTGAATCAGTCCAGGAATCCAAACTCTAATAAGCAATTTGAGTACAACGGTCAAATTCCACAGGGGAATAAGTCACTGTCATGTGCCAGGAACACAAAGAGCACATGCTTTCAAGAGAGCTGTTGCAGAAGTTATTCTAGCAAAAAATCCCTCTAAGGGAGTTTTAAAATCCAAAGCTTATTTACTCCCTATCTAGGTGCAGCTAAAAACGAACAGGTCAGATTTCCTTAGATTTGATTGATTTTTTTTCAGTTTATATAGCCACCAATCTCACAATAATGATTCTGGGTAGTTTACAGTGTTTAAAAATAATCCAGTAACATAATATAAAATAAGAGTTGAGGAGTCAGGTCAGTCTAAGCAAACAGTAACCATAGCAAGGGCTCGAATACTCAGACCTCCATGCCAGAAACACATCCACACCTTTAGAACCTTTTGAAAAGTTGCAGGGCAGAGGCCAATCTAATCTTGGGGGATATGGTACAGTTCTACCTAATTTCTCAGTGCAATTAATATTTTTTTACATCCAGGAAATTTTTGAAAGCTCATTGCTCACAGAATCTATCATTACATTGCCTGATATAATAAACAGCATGTATAATGGGAGAGCAATGTAGAATTATTTCTCTAAATGTTAGAGGTTTGGGAGATCCTGTTAAGAGAAGAAGGATTGTTAATTATGTTAAATCATTTAAGCCTCACATGGTTGTATTACAACAAACATAAACAACAAAAGGTTAAATAATAGGTATTCTGATAAACAGTTTTTGGTAGGAGGATCTAATAAATCAAGGGGAATAGCTACTCTTTTCAAAGTTGGCATAAATTTAAAAGTTCAAAAGATTCTAAAAAATAGGGAAGGAAGATGTACATTTATAGAATGGAAATTTGACTATAAAACATTAACTTCTAATCAGGATTAGTTATTTACAAAAGATTATGAATGGTAAAAAAAAAAACGCAGATAATTTTATAATAAGAGGGGACTTCAATATTGATGCATTAAAACCTCAGACTGGAATGATTTCAAAATTTAATGCATGCTCATGGATTTATAGATGCAGGGACAATCATGAATCCTGCAATAAAAGCACATACATTTTATTCAGGCAGACATAAATCCCTCTCTAGGATAGACTACATATGGATATCTAATTTTTTTTCAAATGTTTTGCAAGTTAAAATTGCACCAAAACTTACATCAGATCATGCTGCAGTGATTATTATGTTCAAATTAGAAGAGATTATCACATTTATTTATTATTGGTGTTTTAATCCTATAGTAGTAGTAATCTTTATTGTCATTGTACTACTTGTACAACGAAATTAAATGCCACCCCAGTGCAGCTTT